CTTAGTCATAACATAAATATATGTTCCAATACACATGCACTGATAATATGCAGATATGTATTGACCTGTTAATTCTTGAAATGCAAGATAAAATATCAAGGGGGCTGGTAGGGGATAAATGTATGCTTATAATTAAAGCAGAACTATTAAAAGGTGACCTGGATGCCCGAGTGGTCAAAGGCTCTCAACATTTCTGGTCAGTAACATCTCAACTACGTTCACATAGGTAACTATATCGGGCTCAGCCAGAGTGGGTATGAGAAAAAGCTTTTTAGTAGCTTCCCTTGAGTTTGTGGCTTTTCCAGAGTTTTTCATCCACCAGATAAACCTGGCCGCCATGTATCGTGTACTGAAAAAATGTAGTTGACCAATGATAACAACAACAATTACATAAACCAGCCTTACGAAATGTGTATTTGATCTTTTCTCATTAAAATTATTTGCTAGAATACTACTTATACTTATTTAACATAGTGAAATCTAAACTGAACTGAATTACCTTTGAGCAACTGGCCTTGTGTTGGTTTATCCTGGCGATGTTAAGCTGTTCTTGCGGTCGACCACACGCTTCGGTCCATCATTTTACCTTTTCCAAATCACATTTTGGAGTCGGAAAACGTATAAAACGGCCTCCTTCCATCCTTTCCGGGTATCTCTCATCTGCAGTGCACGTTCCCAATGCTCATCGAAGCACTATTTTGTCAATATATCGCAAAAATCACCAGCTGTATTTTCACCACACGTTTGTTTTTGGGTAAAATGTGGCGGCTGTTACCGTAGCAATGGACACTGTTATCCAATTAGTCAATATTTGTGGTTTTGATTGAGTTAGGATCTATGTATTGACTTGAGAAGGATACTTTGCAAGTTTATCATCGAAAGTATGACTACGTACTAGATGAAAGCCATTACAGGTGTAGTGTGAAAGGTATTTGTACAACTAGGACCGGCAGTGGAAAATTGCTTATTCATCAGTCCATTTGTGTGTTCCCTGGTCTCGATCATGTACGAACAATTTTCAAATATGCAGAACTTCATTTTGGTTGGATGCGGTGGCTTCAATTTTACAGACCCGAAGCAACAGAAAAAAATATCTGCTCGATACGCCAAGATGTAGATAGAGTTATCATATCAGAACCTTGGCTAGCGAAAATGTCGCGTCTGGATGAAATGTTCTTGATGTTTTGCATAGAAGTGTAGATTAGCGTTGGAAAGTCTATATAATATCACATCATCTATTAGTGTCCGTCTTTTAAAAGACTAATGTTAGATGCAAACCTTTGTTATGTATATTTAATTTGCATTGTTTGTTTGTTAGTTTTGTTACTTTTTTATTTTATGATATACGGTAAAATCATAGTGTAACTGACCTCCAAAATCAATGACAGTGTTGTAAACAACATGGTTAAATTTTGTCTGACTGAATTATTTAAGTCAAGGACATTCATGATTGTCGCATGTTTTATTGTATACAGGCTTTGCAGTAATATGTTTCTTCGGTTAGGATATACTTTTGATCCTCCTCCTGGTTTTCGTTTTATGTCTTAGTCATTTTTTTAAAATATAAATCTTGTTTACGGACAGAATATGTTGAATAGATCACATCATTATTTCTACCGCGATCTGGGGGAAAATAATTTATTGAAATTACCAGTAACTTCGTTGGCAGAATTGTTAGGTGGCACCTCTTAATTGTAAACTAAATATTTGAAGGTCGTTTATACCTTATATCTTTATTATTTCAAAGAACGGTTTATGTCAGCTGTTGTTTTTTGTTTTTTACGTCCTTCCTTCCAAACTTATACTGAAAGAATGGTGAAATTTATGATAAAAAGAGGATTTGGGGCAAGGGAAAAATAATCGCAGGTAAACAGCCTCCATTTTCATTGTCTTTCATTCAATGCTGTAACCCTCAGTTTGAATAATTTTGTACTGTGATTTTAGAAAGATCTCACATAAAGCAAGGACATGAAAGCAGAGCAGACGGTCGAGGGGGGGGGGAGAAGGGAAGAAACTCTGGATATTTCCCCAGGATCCGAGCCGAATATTTTATAATTTTATGAAAGTAAAATTTAGTTTCAACAAGAGCTTGGAAAGGCCTGGTGTGTTTCTTACCCCAGGACCCGTGATCGCTCGCCACGGCTCTGCATGAAAGATATCTGTTGGATATGTACAAAATTCATTACATTTGCTGATGACTGCATTCGGGAACTACCTATAAGCCAGTTGATTTGTGGTTAAAGATACTGCCTGAAGGATTGTGGAGGCATTAGCTCCCATCTATTGGGGTGTTGAATCTCGCCTCCTCAAGGGACCTGAATAGTTTCATTATCTTTGTAACTCATCAACAGAAAATAGGTCGTGTTGATTAATTGGTTCATCAGATTGCTGGGTACATGTGCATGCGACCCGATGACTCAAGTTTTAAATAATGTGCATGAGACAAGAAGTAAACATTTTGCCTGAACCTGATTTTGCAGGAAGGAAAAAAAAAAAAACGTTTTCCTGTGTGTCACAACCTTATAATTGTTTGAAAACTACAAGCCGTAAAATGTTCTCACCCTCAATATTTAATATAATAATTTGTTTAAATATATATTATTTTGCATCAACATTTTTCAAAGCTGACTGAGCCTTGGGATCCAAGAGAATTCATTGAATTGTGATGGTTATTTTCATGTTTTTACAAGTCTTCCTTTGTTTATATATTTGACAATATTTGCAGTACACATTTTAGCTTGTTTTATATTTGTACGTCGATTCAATGATTAGCGATGTTTAAACGCCGGTGCACATTGATGGGTCCTTTTAATCTGGAGCGTTTGTGACGCATAAAGATCACGTCATAGTATGTGATGTAAGCATAATAACACAACGACGGTAATTAGAGGAATGTTGCCCCTCGTGAAGAGTGGGTATAATTCCAGCAGAGGACAATGGGTTCAAAGCATTGGAGTTCTCATGGAAAGAAATTTTAAAAAAAATAAAAAATTTAAAAATTCTGTATTTTTCCGATGTTTTGTGTATTTGAGAGTTCTTGGTCAGACTATGGTTTCTATTATCAGATGCTGAGCAAAGTATACAGACAGGTACTACACTGCTATATACTAATTTTTACATAGTCCAAAGAGATTTTCTCCAACGTGCAATGAAACCCGACTCTGCCAGATATGTTACAATCTCCTTCACAGTTTTGCACAGAGAACTAATTCAAAATTAAAAGCTATTATTTAACATGAGCTAAATTTTTAAGTGAAAACCTGGGTTTCATGGGTAACTTGTTGTCAAAGTACTAGATTGCAAAACAGTAAAGTGCATGAAAATGGATAGACCCAAACTAGTAATAAGCACGTTTCATAACCTTTAAACAAGCTCCAAGCTGTGAGGATGCTGTACTGCACATTGCATTATTTACATACTCATCTGCCAATTCTTTTAACAACAGAAAGTAGGTGAGACTAGAAAAGAATTTAAAGTGAGAATAATCTTAGGGGATGGACTCAAGCATTTAAATGCTTTAACCTAGATGACATCAATTGTGTTCAGTATCAAATATATTATACAATCTGACGTGCAAGAAGCAACAATATTCTGAAAAATTGAGAAATTTATTGGATACACCAAACTACATACTCTACAACCAGGAGAGATCATGTTCTGTTTAAACAGGAGTCCAGGCAATTTTAGTTTAATTTTTAAATTTCAATACTGGGAATTTACATTATCTGCCCAGCTGCATGTTTGCTTAACAACTTGCTATTTTTACCAACCAGGTACTTTGAAAGATAATCAACACTTAATACAGTTATCCTGTCTCGGCTATCGGTACATTGGATACAGTGATCCTGTAGAGGCAATCGGTACACTTGATACAGTAATCCTGTCTGGGCTATTGGTACATTTTATACAATGATCTTGTCTAGGCTATCACTTGATATAGCAATCGCATCTAGTCTTTTGGTACACAGGATGCAGTGATCCTGTCTAGATTATCAATACACTTGATATAGTGATCCTGTCCAGACTATCAATACACTTGACACAGCAATCCTGTCTGAACAATCAATACACTTGAGACAGCAATCCTGTCTGAACAATCAATACACTTAATAGTGATCCTGTCAGGACTATCAATACACTTGATACAGTGATCCTGTCTAGGCTATTAATACACTTGATGCAGTGATCCTGTCTAGACTATCAATACATTTGATACAGTGAATTTTTCTGGAGTATCAGTACACTTGATACAGTGATCTTGTCTAGACTATCAGTACACTTGATACAGTGATCCTGTCTAGACTATCACTAAACTTGATACAGTGATACTGTCTAGACTATCAGTACACTGATACAGTGATCCTGTCTAGGCTTTAAATACACTTGATACAGTGATCCTGTCTAGACTATTAATACACTTGATGCAGTGATCCTGTCTAGACTATTAATACAGTGATACTGTCTAGACTATTAATACACTTGATACAGTGATCCTGTCTAGACTATCAGTACACTCGATACAGTGATCCTGTCTAGGCTTTAAATACACTTGATACAGTGATCCTGTCTAGACTATTAATACACTTGATGCAGTGATCCTGTCTAGACTATTAATACAGTGATACTGTCTAGACTATTAATACACTTGATACAGTGATCCTGTCTAGACTATCAGTACACTTGATACAGTGATACTGTCTAGGCTTTAAATACACTTGATACAGTGATACTGTGTAGGCTTTAAATACACTAGATACAGTGATCCTGTCTAGACTATTAATACACTTGATACAGTGATACTATACTGTCTAGACTATTAATACACTTGATACAGTGATCCTGTCTAGACTATTAATACACTTGATACAGTGATCCTGTCTAGACTATTAATACACTTGATACAGTGATACTGTCTAGACCATCACTACACTTGATACAGTGATACTGTCTAGACTATCACTACACTTGATGTTTATTCTATCAGTACACTTGATACTGAACCACCCCAGTAGCCTAATGGTTAGAGCATCTGTCTCAGATGCGGGAGGTCATGGGTTCAACCCCTGGTCTGGTAGAGTCATACCAAAGACTTATAAAAATGGTACTAACAGCTGCGTCGCTTGATGCTCAGCACTAAGAGGTTAGTGTTAGGACTGGTCGGCCTGGTGTCAGGATAATGTGACTGGGTGGGACATCATGCTACATGTCTGCAGCATGATGCCCCAGTGCTAGACATCACTAAAAACTGTCACTCTGCAGAAATCATAGCAATATGACTGAAAAATTGTTAAAGCTATGTTAAAAATCTAAATCTCACACACTTGATACAGTGATCCTGTCTAGACTATCAGTACACTTGATACAGTGATTCTGTCTAGACTATCAGTACACTTGATACAGTGATCCTGTCTAGACTATCATTACACTAGTTTGGCTACAGTCATGTTCTTTTATACATGAATACTTAGAATTTAATTTAGTCACAACCACATCAGAGATCATAACAAATTAACTGCACTAATAAATGTCAATCTATTACAGGTTTATCTGCTTACTGGCTTCTAATTGAACCTACAGTCACAATATGAATGTCCAAGATGTCCACAAATCCCTGAATGAATATCCCCCTCTGAGTAGACTGTTTACTTATGAAATTTCTAGACAGGTTTAATACTTATGTATGGGGTCTGTATGGGCCTATACAACTGGATTTTAAAATCAAATCAAAGTTAATTTGTTAATGATTCAGCAATTTTGCAGTTCCAAAATTAGTAACAGGGCAGGTATTTTATTTGGCATATCAGCAGTAATATTGGAAAACAGGCTCGGCTAATCTTAAGTTGCATCCTGATGATAAACACTAGTGCTTATTTAACATGGATACATCATAGCACATTATGCATACTGAATATAACAGTAAGAAAAGAAAAAACAAAACAAAAAGGAAGGAAAATGCAATATTTTTAATTGATTTCTCAAACAATTCCTATCAGTCCAATTTATGACTAAACATTGACGAGAGTAGTTCATTAAGTACCATTAACTTAAAAAATTTTTTGTAATGTTATGATCGATAGAATATGACAATTGGTATGCTGGGTAGAAAATGATCAAGGTGTCAAAAAATTCAAAATATGTGAAAAAATTACTAATTACATGTAATAGGGTCCCAAGATCTCTTTTCATTAGAGCATATTTTCTCTTTTGATTCAGATTTTTCAAGTTCAAAGTTTTTGCTGCAGCTTCCCCTCCCCCCAAGACAATACTTTGATAAACTGATATGATGCAAACAGCACAACACAACTTCATGGCTTAAATATTTTAGGAAAATCAGTTTAAATTGTATTCCTGTGCACAATACATTTTCCTTTTGCAGTGGCATGCAACATATCTGGCAATTTTGGAACAAATCAGTACCAATATCATTCCCTGAATAATTCTGAATATTACATGTGACATACAGCACTTTTATCTGATATTAAAACAACGGTCTCTACAAAAGATGCCCATTAAATGAAGCTCTTACAACGAAGCTAATAACTTGACTTTTAAGATCATTTTTAGGATAATGAACAACGATCACTTGAAGACCCCTACAAGAGCTGGACGAATTGTCCTATCTTGAAGTTTGTAGCCTGTTTTTGTTATCAAGGCAATCGTTCCAGTCTCCTTGTTTCCTGTATTTGGAACTTCAAATAGAGCTTCATGAATAAATGGATCAAATTTATCTCCCTCTTTGGGATCAATCTTGACCAGCCCATGTTTGATAAATACTTTTTGAAGTTCCGAATCAGTCATTGTCAGACCCTCGAACAAATTTTTTAAGTGAATGTTCTGATCAGTAAGCTGTTCTTTTGGAACACTTTCAGTAGCCTTGCCCAAAATATCTGCTACACTAATCAGGTCTTTACAAAAACCTTGTATCCCATATATTTTAGCATCATCCACCTGTTTCTTCATACGATGACGTACATTTTCTGTCTCTGCTAATGCCCGCATATATTTATCCTGAAAAAAGACAAAGGAACATCCGTAAAGATTTTGTCTCATTTGAAAACAAATTCATGTGCAATCATAATATGTTCAATTCAGGTACATGGTTATTATTGTTTCTCCACCTATTATGATATGGAAGTGAATTTTCACCAAGCTTAGAGCTCATGGTTAATACCAATTGCAAGACTTTCAAAAAGTTTAGTCCTTGTATATGACCTAGAATTAACGTTTCTGTGCACAAACCAATTTTTCTAGCAAAATTCTTCTTATATAAAATGGGATAATAATACCTTTGTAATTTGACCACTGTTATGCACATCCTGCATTCCCAAGCAAAATTTTGGCTACGGAAGTTAAATATTGTCATACCACATATGCAGCAGTCACACAGAGCGATCTCCCCTTGACCAGTGCCAAATCCTATGTATGCTGTAACTGCAAGGAGGCTGGATCCATTTTTAAGATTGGGCAAGTATTATTGAAGAAACATATTGTTCTAAAAAAAATTTAGATTCTTCTTCAAATATGTTATTGGATGATACTACCTATAGAAAATAGGTAGGCGGTAGAGAGGGTTACATCACCTTTCCATAAGGTGTGTTAGACAGCTTCTAGACTAAAACCTTGGCTAAAACAAAGATTCTGTATGCAACAACATAGCTTTTGGGAAAATCAAAATTTCCCTCACAAATATCCAACAGAAGTTGTCATGCTGTGTCCTTATGTATATTTAATTTGTATCAGGTGGTTGATCTTGGTCAGTAACTTATATTAAAGGCCTACCTGTTACGACCCTGTAGTTAAATTACATGTGTGTTAAAATTTGAATTCTTTTATTTCTATATCATTTCATTTTTATATCTTTAAATATAAGTATTATGATGATAACTAGGTTCGTAGGGTCTGATATTTTGTTAGAAACCTTGTATTTATTTAAAACATGTGATTTGCATAAGCATGATTTTTGTATGACAGTTTTTCGTATTCAGTAAAGTCGGAAAGTACTTTGTAAATGATTGGCTGTGACCAATGTCATTTCTAATTATAGTCATAGTTGAGAGTGACATCATAACATCTTACAGAGTTTCTAATACCTTAAGAAGGTATTCCTGTACCGGAAAGAGTTATTCATTTGTACATATGAGGAACAACATGTGTTCTGTTATTGATAAATTGTTGTACTTCATCTACCTGTTAAAGAATAATTATTTTCCCTGGAGAACTACATAACTGGCTTTTGGACAAAGGCATTTGCTGAAATAATTTCTAAATTGGAAAAGAACAATACAATTTGTGATTCACAGAGAAAATTTTGGACATTTTGTGTTAACCTTCGTCTAATGACATCATCCCCCATCTTGGAACAGAACTGAGATTCAGACTAAGTCAATTTAAAACTGTTTAGTCACAACACTTATGTAATTTCACAATTTTTTGACAAATCTTTGGATCTTCTTTGTAAATCGTAAATTGTTTAATATATTTTTACCATTTCAGTGTTTCATAGAAAAAATTATTTTTGTTAAAATTTACAAATCTTGTTGAAGTCACTCTTTTCTTTGTATTACTTTAAACAAGCCAATACATAATACTACCCGATTACTCTTTTTGGGGGGAGGGTGTTGGCTGTTGGATAAGCAGCACAGTACATAGCTTATACCGGCCTATGATTTCAGATTATATTTTAATATCATTGTTATTTGAAAGTAAACATGTTTACAACTGTAGTGTTCAAGGTCTTTAGTAGCACCCTATGGAATAATGTGTTAAACGCATGTATATGGATCAAAGTCATTCCAATCAATCCATTTACTCTGCCCATAATTTGACAAATGCATAACATGTAAATGGATTTGTCTTGAAAGACACCACATTAAAAAGAAAATGTCATAAAATTAACGATAGTGGCATTGTGAGATGAGATGTGAATTCGATTTCATTGCAGCTTCTACCACACATGAAAAGCTTTCTGTACGTTTTTCATATATAGGCCGTTACTATGTAATATGTCAATCCTGAGTGACCCAGAATGATGGAAGAACACAACAATGCCAACATGAGATCTGCTACTTTTTTAACATTTAAATACATTGATATAACTGGCATTTACTTTAGATTCCTTTAACTCTGTCTGTAAGACCTCTTTTTCTGCAAGGAGAGCTTTTTCTGCCTCAGTTGGTCCTTCTACTTTTTTCTCTGCTGATGCTGCTACAGCTGGTTCTTCTGGTTTGTTGTTTGTTTCAGCTGCTGTTGTTGATAACCTATAAGCACCACATCTGTAATTTATAAAATATACATCACTATCACATAAATTCCCTAATTTATATTGAGCTCTGAACTTCCAGTAACATTTTTTTAAAAATTAAAAGTGTTTTATTGCACTGGGTTTCAAGATTTTAAAGGGAAATCATAAAAAATACTTGGACAATAACATACTACTATTACAATAGTTTCAAACATATTTTCCTACAACACACTCATTCACCCTATGTAATGAGTGACCCAGCGATAATATGGTTGTTGAGGTCAATAGAACCCAATTGTGTTATAGACCAAACCATACTGTAACCAATCAAGTCATTTAGCTGAAGAAAATGATGCAAACAAAATTGGAAAAAAGAGGGTGAAAGTAATAACAGCCAGCACAAACAAATGTGCTGCTGATTAAATGAAGACAAAACTAGTGTGAAATAAACTTGTATATTGACAGCTTACATTTGTGTAGTACAGTCCATAATGCATTATGTACTGTACATTTTGAAAAATCTATGAATTCAAATAGAAATCATATTGTAAAGTTCATGTATCAGTCACATCAAGTTTGAAAACACATAATGTATAAAAAATGGTAGTCCACTTTTGATCTATATTACAATTTCAGTAAACACATACCCCTAAACAATTCACCATGACATTATCGAAAGTATAATGAAGCTATTGTTGTTTACATGCTATGTGCACATGTGCTTAAACTGGCCTTAAATCTGGTCAGCTGGAGACAGCTATCATCTTGACAGGGCTACCTAGGGGATGAGGCAATTCATAAGGAAATGAAAAGATGTGAACAAATTAGAGAGTAA